ATTTTAAATCTAGTTTTTAAATAGCTATGTATATTAATGCTTTGTCTCAACTTTTAGGGTTGATATTTTTATTTATACTCATACAAATAATTATTAAGTGCATTTAAACGTACAAAGGAATAAGTTTCGGATCTAATCATTTGTCATATCATGCCCCCTGCGTTTGCACACATTTTTATCAAACTTTTCCACAAAAACATTAATTCTTTTTATTAATTTTCTATATGCTGAAGTGAATTGTTACTTTTTCATTTACATTCACTCTTTAAGGTCACTTGATGGCCATTACTCGGCATGGAGTGAATCGCCTTGACACTGGTGCATTGGCACGATGCAGTTTTGAAGAGACTGTAGACATTCTCATGGAAGCGGCAACCCATGCAGAGCGAGATCCAATGGCTGGTGTTTCCGAGAATATAATGCTTGGTCAAATGGCTCGTATTGGCACCGGTTGCTTCGATTTGCTTTTAGATACTACACGTTGTCAAGAGGCTCAACCAATTCCTCTCACTGGTGGTCACATGGCCAATTCTCTTTTTAACGCTCCTGGTTTTCATGTTGCCACTTTCGCCGGAAGTCCGCTATGGAATGATTCATCCCTTCAGTTTGGTTTTGATCAAAGTAAGTATTTGAGTATTTTGCATTGCCATCTAGGGATTAAGTTTGCTTAATATTTAAAATTTTGACTTTTATTAATGTGCATTTTTGCATTAAAAATAATTTGATGTATATAGCCACATTCTTATTAATAATCCACCTTCATTGCACATAAAGGATATTTCTATTGCCTATCTCCTGTCATTTATATCTGATAAACTTAACTATCATTACCAGGCGCCAAATAAAGTATTTAAATTGCTTTGCTCATCTAATTTTACCGTTTATGAGCATGTTTGAAATATTGGTTTATCGCGCATCCCCTAGATAGAACGAGGGTTTGCTTATTTGTACTAAGGAGCTTTCCTATACTGTGTTTTGATGCAAAGTTTATGCTCATTATTAGCCACCATTATGGAGTGTATATTCAATGTACCCTTGTTCTCTTCATTTTATACCACAGCCGGCCAAGGAGGAGCTCACACTCCATGGGACGCAATTCGCTCTCCGACTGGCTCCTTACTCGGTTTGGATGCTAGTCCAGCTTACCGTGGGGTGATTGGTGGCCTAGGTGGACTGGGCTCGGGTGGCGCTACTGCTCCACACAGCGCCATGTTCTCACCAACAATGAGCAGATTAGACTCTGGTCTCTCACCAGGCCGTAGTCCTCAGATGGATAGTCCTCGCACTCCAGATACTGCGTTTTCTCCAGGCGGGCTCTATCCAGCATATCCTAGTCCTATGTCGGCAAGTGGAACTCCACAAACAGATCCTGGTTCACCTGGTTCCAGTCCGGGTCATACAGGGAGTGCGAATAGCAGCTCTTTGGGCTTCGCAGACGATCTCAATTTCTCCATCCAATCACGCCCGACCTACGGTGGCGGAGGTGGATTTACGGGTACTGGTGGTTCCTCTAGCCTTAGTGGTGGCGCTGGAGGGCTGGGAGGCTTGGGAGTCAGCGCTTATGGCCCTGGTGGGCTTGATTCAGCCGGATCTGCGTCACCTAGCTTTAGCTTGACACATTCATATGCTCCCACTTCTGTTGGCTACTTGCAGCGCTCTCCTCATTTGGTGGGTGCTGGCAGTTCTTCCTCGTCTGGTTTGGCTGGTCTTGGTGGTCTTGGCTCGTCCAGTGGTCTTGGCGGTGGTCTGGGTGCTGCATCTCCCGGCATCTCTGCTGGCTCACCTGATAGCCTCGCTCTCTATACACCACATAGTCCTCTTCTTAGCGCGACTACGGCTAGTCGAACTGCTGCTGGACATGGAGTCGGCAGTGGTACTGGAGGGGGCTATGGCTTGAGTACTTCAGCATCGAGCAGCTGGGCTGCTGGGCTTCTAGCCTCAGCTTCATCTGTGACACCTGGCAGTGAGACACCAGGCGGGCTCTCATCCTCCTCAGCGACTGGAAGCAGCTTGCTCCTCGACTCAGGCTCTTCGCCATCTCTTGGCTTAACGGGTGCCTCTAGTCTACGTGGCGGTGTCAGTGGTCTGGGTGCCGGAAGCAGCAGCAGCGTGACTGGGCTCGGCCTACTAACTGTGGGCAGTTCTAGCGGCAGTGGAAGCAGTGTGGGCTCTGGTGTTGCCGGCGCTGGAAGCCATCCTTCCTTCTATCCCTTTACACAGTCCAACTCCCCATGCAGCAGTTTCAATGCTTCGCCCTCTGCACCACGCTACAGCCCGCCATCATCTTTGGGTGGTTCTTCAATGGACACCTACTCTCCACAAATGATGCTTACTCCTGTAAGTTCTTACATATCCGCTATCCAATCAAAGACCTTAGATCTAAACCTATAGTTACCTTTTATGTAATACTTATTCATGACAACTATTATTTTATTTCAAGCTACGCTCAGTTAAGATAGTAGTGTACGAATGGCTCCCACTATTTATTAATACCAGCTAGTTGCAATAAAAGAAAAAACCTAGCACCCATAGCCTACCAGTGATATTTTAATAAATTTTATTCTAAGTTCGTCAGTTTATTGTCTCTAGTATCAGTACCAATCTAGTATCTAGTACACCAATCCTCTATATTTAGGTATATATTTCATAGTCTTCCTTCAGATTTTCAAAGACACAAAACTGATCGATCTTGGCCCTCAGCTTCTTACTCAGCAAATATGCGTAAGCTCACCTGTATTTTCTTAATGCATATAGTTTATTTGAAAAATAATACCAATTTATATAAATGAATTCACTAGGAGAGAAATCGAGTCATCGAGTAAATATAAATCCTAGAATCAGTATAATCGCTGAAGGAATCATTCGAACTGATTTGTCACTTGTCAACCAGCTGTACTAACTTTAGTCATTTTGAAAAAAAAATTAGATTCCTTGATTTAATTGTTTTTAGTCATTGAGTAACTTTTATAGCATGGGTTAAATATGTAATAACTGGTTCATACAATGGGAAATATCCTGAGTAGGGATATTTCAGCCTGACGTTATACATTTTAGACACCTGGTTCGGTTGTCAGAGCGACCTAGATGACGTGCCTGGTCCGAAGTCCTTTGCCATAATAGTTTCTATATTTTCCAGCATCGGGGCATCGGTTTTATACATTCCAAGGCGTTTCTCGGGCATCCTCAGTGAGTCATGTCACTTAGCAGCAAGCTACAACTCGGCAAAGGTACGAGTAAAGTTCATTCCCTCGCCAACTTTTCGCCGAACGGTTTTTACAACCTATTCTGGTACATCTACATACCTCCTATCAGAAGACTAAGATTGATGGGCACGGAACTATGGGATGATGAATTGGTCACATTTACTTGGATCTGTCTCAGGAACTAATAGCCGGGAGATGTCCCGCATAGAAATATATGGTCCGTTGCTAGCAGATACGGCGTCTGTAAGCACAGAAGTGCATTGACGAATTGGGGAAAAAAAGTCAACATACGAATCAATAGAGATTAAAGACTCTCCAGGAAAATGGATACAAAAG